GTACACTGGTACGATAGTACACTAGTACGATAGTACACTGGTACGATAGTACACTGGTACGATAGTACACTAGTACGATAGTACACTGGTACGCTAGTGCACTAGTACGATATTACACTGGTACGATAGTACGATAGTACACTGGTACGATAGTACGATAGTACACTGGTACGATAGTACGATAGTACACTGGTACGATAGTACGATAGTACACTGGTACGATACACAGAGGTATTGATCGTGTTCTTCGCCATTGAGCTTCTTTGGACTTCCTTTTGTATCATAAAAATTACGAAAGAATAAATTTGACGTCAAGTGTATATAACTCATATATTAGTTGTCTGCTTCTAATAGCGCTTTCAAACAATGKTTACCCTCCGTGTTACTCCCACTTTTTATTTTTAACGAGTTTTACGGATATAATGGTACGCTGTTCGACGTAACAAGGCTTTTTTACTTGTAAGGCGCGGGATATTTTGGGCATGGTATAACTTGAGATCCCTTYCCCTAGTTCAATGTTGTTAGAATGATGTCTTCGGGTTTTGCTAGGAAATCGCGTCTTTTTGTCGTCCGCAATCAACATTGCCGAGGGGGAAGGGGTATAGGACCTAACAATTGTGGGTGTCTCATTTTTTTTTGCCGGAGATTGTAGCTTACTTACAGCATACAGATCGAACACACTCATGTCATCACTATTACTGATTGAGAAAGACTAGCTTACTTACAGCATACAGATCGAGAAAACACTTCACCATTACTGTTTGATAAACAAAGAACTCACAAGCTGAAAATGGCGGGAAACTACAGCAGAGTTGCAACAATAATCCTAGAAGGCTACTTGACAAATCCTCAACGTAAAATTGAGCGATAAAATGTAAACAAAACATAGTTACCTCTTGGCAGTTGGGCACGAAGCCGATAATTCATGATCTTCTATTATTTCAAAGTTCTGTGTTGAGTCAACTTGTGTTGTCGATATCACGCATTCATCATTGTTGTCAATCTCCTCGTCGGAATCCTCATTAGAACGATGCCATTTGTCAGTTCTTGCATTGTAATACAAGGAGCGATGGAGTCTATAAGTTCTTTCATTTACAAA